AAAAAATATTTTTTTTTTTTTTTTTGTTGAAAAATTAGTTTAAATTTTACTTTTGCAACATATTGCATAACATTTTTGTTGAGAGAGAGCTTATAATATTATTTTTTTTTAAAAAAAAATAAGAGTGAAAAATCAACATTCATAAATGTAACAATCGAACTAAATACTCGGTTTTATATATCACTAGATTAATTTACAATTAAGAGACCGAAAAAGTAAATCATTGTAAATATTTACAAAAGCTTATGTAGAAATGTAAAATATAAATATTGTTAGTACAATTTTTAATAAAAAATTAAATTAAAATAACATAGAAAATTTAATTACTAATATATTGTATATAATTTTTGCATTTTCATACATATTTTATAGATTTTCTTTAAATATATATATAAATATATATAAATATATATATATGTATTTTATAAAAAAAATGAGGGGGGCCCACGGCCCCCCGGGCCTTCTTTGGCTCCGTTTATGATTCCAACAGAGAAAATTCGTTGGAATTCTTCAACTATCCAACACTTATTCCAACATAAAATTAAGTTTGTTGGAATATATATTGGAATTTTCAACGGAAATTTTTGCCGTTGAAATTTTTCGTTGGAATTGAAGTATTTTTGTGTAATGGTATGAGCTAAATGCGGCAAAATGCAAGGATTTAATTTATCAGGACTAAGAAAAGGACTAGAATATTGATCATTGTTGTTTGTATTCTACAACTTCTTGTGTTTTGAAAATGTGATATGTGTAGCAATGTAATGGATTCTATTAGTTTTCAAAGTGACGCAATTTATTTCACTAATTGGGACTAACTTTTATTTCAGTTTTTGTGTATTCTTGAAAATAAATAAAATAGAATATGACTTGGTCACTAATGAACGTTGTTGACGGTCGACCCCCAACGGTTTGTATTTACGTTTTAACCGGTGGTTTAAACGGGGAGTTACAAAATAATTAATATGGGGGTCGTGATAAATTAAGGTTGAAGCATAATAAAGCTTAAAGGACATTTGGAAGGGAAAATACGTACGGAAATTAAATATACACTGATTTTATCTATGTGTAGGTGATATCGGCAAGGAGATTAGGGTTCTCCGGAAAAGTGTATGGAAAGTATGAGTGTGGTGTTTACATATGATTAAGGTTGAGCAAAACCGAGCGAACTATGTAACTCGGTGCGATTTGGGTCAGTTTTTTCAATGTAAAATGTTTTCAGTTTGCTTTCGATCCAGTTTTTTCCTACAATGCGGTGCGGTGTGGTTATAGTTTTTCATAAATTCGATTTTCGATTTTGTTCGGTTCAATGTGATTTTGCACCGAACCCGCACCAAATTGAATAAATGTATAGAAAAACCGAGATAAAACTAAAAATCGAGTCGAACCGTGCATTTCGTTGCGGTTCGATTCGATTATTTTAGTGTAAAAAAATTTTGGTTAGGTTTTTTTTAGGTTGCAGTGCGGTTTGATTATTTATTTGCTAGGTTTGGGTTTATGAGGTACGTGTGGTTTTTCACCGAAACGCACTGTTGCTCACCTCTACATATAATCAATTGTTGTTGTTTTATGCTCTTCTTCTTTCGTGTCTTTTTTTTTTTCAGAGACATGAGTAGCCGTATTTATTATTCGCTAATTATTTCGCTATCTGCAAGTGTACGGCGTAGCTATAGGTGGTGGCGAGTAAGGTCGTATTCTACAGAGGTCGGCATTTAACGAAAGTGTTTTGAGTATTTGGAATATTGTATCGATTTTTGTGCCTGGAGGACGGTGTTTTACCGGATTGTTTGGGTAGTGTTTCGATGAGGAAAAATGTGGCATAAGGAACTACCAACTCGTTTGATTGTGACGCCAAGTGAGGATTGATCGCCATTAATTATAGGTCTGTTTTTTCATGGAAGTTTATCCAGGAACTTCATCGGCGATCGTTCTATTTTCAAGCTTCTTGATGAGGTCGTCTTTTCGCAGGAGGTCCTCTGTACTTGAAGAGACCATTGCGAGTTAGATCCTTCTACATTGGATCCAAGGGCGTAGCTAGAAAATTTTTTAACCCAGAACTGCATATTATTGAAACCTAGCAGACATGGTCATGGACCGATCTAGCCTGTCGGTTCGGCTCGAATCGACACAAACCGACCCGTTGACTATGGGTCTTGACCCGGCCCGTGGTTTTGATCCGCTCGGTTCATGTACAATACTTTATACTTTATACGAACATGCAGTTTCGTTTTCGAACTGGAACCGGAATCCGAGGTTCGGCCTTTTTGAAAAAAATATTTTTAAAAATATTTTTTATTTTTTGTAATGAATCGGACCACCAATAACCGACAGTTTAATGAACCAGCCTGTACATATGTTTGTGCCGGTTCATGGTCCTCCAACTCTCGGCCCGATATCAGCGGTTTCGACATGTAACCGATTTTGGTCATAAAATAGGCTGACGACGATCTTCTTTCCACATTTGTTTCTTACCTCCGTTAATTTCCATGCCAACTCTTAATTGACCACCTACTTTAAACACGTGTAACAATAACACGATATCATCGTGAGTGTGTAACTTGGTGCCAACAAAATTACAAATATACAAAGGCAATTTCCACGTGTTTCTCTACGGTTCGGTATATTTAATTAATATGATATTCACTTATTTAAAAATAAGTAAAATAAAAGGCGTGAAGAAAGGCCAAAAAGGGGGGGTTTTGCACTGCAGGAAAAAGCAGAATTGATCACTGCACCGAGTCTGCAGACACCATTGGAGTGGCGATATGTGTTGCCCACCCACGCTCGCTGCTTCATGCAACCGCACATTTGGCTGCTCCTCTTACTTACCCAAATTACCTTTTTGCCCCTGGCCTACTTTTTTCGTTTCCTTTTTCTTCCCCAAACATGACCAAATTGCCCCTGATTAGTACGGGGGCGTTAATGACTGACACGATACGAAATACTAAACACGTTCAAATTAGAAACATGATTCGGAGATCAAATTTCGCATGATTGACATGACACGATACGACAAAAATTCAAATAATACGAAATAAATAAATGAATAAATAAATAAATAAATAAAAGTAGCTTTTTTAAAAAAAAAAAAAAAAAAATTTATACAAGTGAAGTTGATGTTAGGTAATTATATTTTCTTAAACAAATCATGTATGCATATTTTTTAAAATGATATGTTATGTCTTATAAATAACATAAACAAAAAGTATGACACTTAAAAGATTAAGTCGTCTCATACAAGAATTTATAAATTCAGATTTTGTTACATATCTGTATTGAATAAAATAGATACAATAGTGAAATAGGCACAAAAAGCTATAGCACTATTTAACATCTATTAATTAGTTGAGTTTGTTAGCATGAGGACACTTTTTATTGGTGTTATGAGAGATATTTATTGAATCAATTAATGCCAATAATTATGGCATAAAATAACGAGAGATTCTACAGTCCCGTTACAGAATTATCCAGTCGAGGTATGTAATCGTTAGATCAACTATCCACGACGATTACATGATGATCTAATAGTTACAAATCTCGACGGAATGGTTCTGTAATTAACCCTTAACTCTATTTTTTCCATATGATTTTTCCTTTTTTAGTTATGCCCCAATCCCATTCACTAATTTCAAAATTTACTAAAAGCAAACCATCAAATTTGACAAAATAGTCCATAATAATGAAAACTCTAATGACACTTTGAAAACACTCCAAGGGCAAAATCGTCCATTGAAAACACAGATTCGAAGGTATGTCCATGTGAGTTGATTCTCTCTGTAAACAGATTCCAATTCATGCATATATATATATTTATTTAAAAGCCCCTTTGGCCCATATGTTTTTTCACATCTTCTCTTCAGATCTCACCTCAAAATAAAAATTAAATATATATAATAAATCTCCCCACAAAATTTATCAAAAAAAAAAAAAAAAAAANNNNAAAAAAAAAAAATCCAATCCAATATATATATAATTCTCAAATAGTGTGCGCACATTATATATATATACATTTTGGTGTGGAGATATGTTGGCCGTCGATGCAGTTGATCTCTAATCGTCGCCGTTGATCGTACGTAGCTTCAGATTGCAAGGTGGTGACGTTCATCGTTTGGCTAATTTATTTTTTTTTTATTTATTTTTTCTGGGTTCATGATTGTGAATTGATTTCTTGGGCAATTTAATTTATTTATTTATTTTGGGCATGTGAAGAAAAAAAAAATATTTTTATTTATTCTCAATATATTGATTTTTTATTTTTTTTAAAATAAATCCTTGAGATTTTCGTTCACGAAAATAGAGTTGTTGTGGACACTCATATTTGTTGGCAAATCACACGGGGAAAAAAGGGAGATGAACTGTTCTCTCTCTCTCTCTCTTTTTTTATTTTTGTATAAAGTAAATGTTAGGTCCCGTTACGGAACAATGACATCGGGAGTTTTACCATTAGATACACATGTAGTTAGTATAAGATAGATGATCTAACGGCTAAAACACTCGACGGGATGATTCCGTAACGGACCCATAGAATTTCCTTTTTTATAATTATGAGCCTATTAGTGAAATTAATTATTCTTGTAAATAATTATCACCTAAACCATATGAGATTATGGTGTTTGATTAAATCAAGATTTTGGGAAAATAACTCTGCTCAAAAACAGGACACATACAATACAATGATGTTCATTGTCTGCATAAACATATGAACTCACAAAAATATCAACTGTTTAAACTCTGTTTGATTCAGGGAAAAAGAAAAAAGGAAAATTCAGATCTCAAGTTTTTTCCGGCATGGCATGCACCCTGTCACACGTCAGCAGCAGCCCAAGAGACTCGCCGGAAAACGGGCTCCGCCGGTCGTTTTCGGCCAAGGATTTGCAAAGACGAGCCGGAATCCGAAGGTCGGTTTCAGACAACAACCTCTGCTACCCGGCCGGCTCCATCAAGGCATCCTCGGCCCAGCCAAAGCTGAAAACGAGCCGGTCGGTTGGCTTCTTCAACATAAACTTATCGAGCACGATGATCCACGACACGTTTAGGTCGTTCCTTTTCGAGCCAGAGCCAAGTCCCAAAGATATGATGAAGGCGGATGACGAAACTAGCGGTTTTAGCGAGGACGATGGGGAAAAAAAACGGGCCAATTGGGTCGAGAGGCTAGTTGAGCTTCGGGATGATTGGCGAGATAGAAAGGACGAGGAGGAGGTTGGTGACGACGTGGAAGGCGGCGGTTGTGACGAGGAAGGAGGGTGTGTCGTGGAATATGATGACGTGGATTCGGATGACGAGAAGGGAGGAGCGGAGGAAATTAGCATCGATAGAGATACGTTTACTTCGTTGTTGACGAACGTTTCTTGGTCGGATACTAAGAAATTCTCTCAATTAGCTTTCTTGTGCAACATGGCGTACAAGATCCCGGATATGAAGGTAAGAAGCAACGAATGTAGCTAGCTCGTTTTTACGATCAAAATGTACCATCGTCTCACGAAAAAGACCCGATCTTTCGGTTGTTTTTTAAATGGCAAAATTGTATATAAAGACACCACCTTTAAGGATTTGCAGTTTAATCGCCACATTTTAATTTGCGTAAAAAGACGCTACCTTTCGTATGATTTGCTGATCGAAGCATAATTTTAACATCCGTCGATGGGAGTTGACTTGGCACCTACACGGAAAGTTTACGTGGCTCTTAGGTGTGCTTAACTTCCATCTGTGCCAAGTTAAACATATGAAAGGTGGTGATTTAAACGCAATTATAGAAAAAAAAAGTTATTAAATTTCTAGTCTTAAAGGTGGTTCCTTTATATGCATTCTTGCCTTTCTAAATTGTTCCTTAAACCTTAAAAGTTCAAACACATGCAGACCGAAGATTTGAGGAGGTATTATGGCCTGGAATTTGTGACATCGTCGTTGGAGAAGAAAGCCGAGGCGAAAGAAAAAGTCGAACGCGACTCGACTAAAACTAAATTAGAGTATGAGAAAAATCCCGAGCAGATGAAGCCGCCGCGCGCACGCACGTACGACCAAATCGCTGTGTCGGCAGCCTCGTTTGTGCAGTCTCGGGTGAAAGAGGAGACGGGCGGAGGGTGCTCGAGGGCGGCATGTGTAGCGGCTTCGACTGTGACGGCGGTGGTTGCCGCCGGCGAGAAGGAGAAGGAGAAGGCGGCAAAGGATCTCCAGTCGCTGCATTCTTCCCCGTGCGAGTGGTTCGTTTGCGATGATCCTGGGATTTACACTCGTTGCTTTGTCATTCAGGTAAATAAAAAAATTAAAAATACGATTTTTTTTCGTGATGAATAATAATGCATTTTTCAACTTACGATGTGAATTTGCAGGGCTCGGACTCGCTAGCATCTTGGCAGGCAAATCTGCTTTTCGAGCCGACTAAATTTGAAGTAAGTCGTGCGAAGTGACTAAAAAAGCGATTTTTTTCGACTGAAACTAATGGCTGTTGTTGTATGCTAAACAGGGAACGGATGTGCTCGTGCATAGGGGAATATACGAAGCTGCAAAGGGGATATACGAACAGTTAATGCCAGAAATCAAGCAGCACCTGGAAAAATACGGGTACAGAGCAAGGCTTCAGTTCACGGGCCACTCGCTCGGTGGCAGTCTCGCTCTTCTCGTAAACCTAATGCTTCTCGCAAGAAACGAAGTCGGGCCGAGTTCTCTACTGCCAGTGGTCACTTTCGGGTCGCCTTTCGTATTCTGCATGGGCCAGAAGATATTGGACTGCTTGGGCCTGGACGAAGATCACGTTCAGTGTGTGTTGATGCATAGAGATATTGTCCCGAGAGCCTTCTCGTGCAATTACCCGGATTATGTAGCCCAAGTGCTCAAGCGATTGAACGGCACTTTTCGCCTCCACCCGTGTCTTAACAAGAATGTGAGAAAAAAAAAATACCATCTTTTGGTGTTTTTGTTCGATAAAAAGCTGCCTTTTAATGTTGTACATTTTTGCAGAAACTATTGTACTCTCCCATGGGAAAAATATTCATACTCCAGCCGAACGAGAAGTCGTCGCCACCTCATCCGCTACTCCCTCCAGGTGGGGCCCTCTACGCCTTAACCAACACGAACGTAAGCTCTCTGTCTAAAAGCGCCGTTCGAGCATTCATGAATTCCCCACACCCGATCGAGACTCTAAGTGACCCAGCAGCATACGGTTTGGAGGGCAATATTGTCCGGGACCATGACTCGAGCAACTACCTTAAAGCGGTTAATGAAGTAATAAGGCAACATACGAGACTGGTTGTGAGGAAAGCAAGGGAAGAGAGGAACCAGCTATGGCCGCTCTTAACTTCCAGGTCACCTCACGCGTGGAGCCACACTTGCCATGTCGAGGGCCGAGAGACCCGAGCCAGTGAAAAAATGTTGACTGGGGTTTGAGATTCTTGATTCAAGTAAATCTGCAAAATAAAAAGTGGAGTTTTCTTTCTGGACATGAATTTTGCTTCTGTGATGTAAATAAGATTTTTACAGATCCTTTGTTTTCTGGTGTATAGATATGGTGATGATATTATTCATAAGGAATACTTGCAAAAATTTCTACTCAAGAACATGCTCATTAATTAGAGGGGGAAAAAAGAAAGTGATTCAAAGGAAGAGTTTTGACATTTTACAGACTAAAATCATCTGTAACGACACAAATACTAGTATGTATTTAGATATTTGTCCTACAAATGAGTTTATAGTAAAATCTAATTCTAATCCAATGACATTACAAGTTTACAACCTGTCATCACCTACAACATTTAGCAAAAAAAAGGCGGTCGTTAATGTGTCCGAGCTTCCAGTTGCAAAGATTCTAAATCTTCGCAAAGAGCTATTTTACAAACCAGTCGTGCCACATGGAGACCGTGTGCGATACTATAAAAGTTCAGGCACCAGCACAGGTTTGTCGGGTAAAAGATTGGGCAAAATTAGCAGAACTGGATCTGCCATTTTGATGTCAGTTTATGCCTTTGTAGAAGCTTGATGTGCGACAACCTCATCCTCTGGATGATGGTGTTTCTTTTAAGCCCCAAAACTGGAAAAAAAACCAACCCCTATTGTTAAATGTACAAAAATCAATATTGCCAAGTTTAGGAAGAAGAGTTACGTTTTTCCGGGAAAGAGAATATGCCAAATTAAGAAACGATGAGTAAGGATCTGAATTCAGATTCTTCAAACAAGAGCCAACCGAATAAACTATCTGCAATTGCACAAGGCAGCTATGCATGATGGAAAAGGATATGACATCCCATACTTGCACGAGTTCAAGGCCAGTGTACCGTGTCATCAAACGAATTCATAAAAAATCTTACCCAGACAATTGACCCGCTACACTATCCAACCGTCTAAGGACTCGGTTCTAAAAATAATGTGAATGGATGAAATACCCCTAGAGGTTTAATATAACTGAGTAAGACAGAGAAGAACTCCACTAACTTTCAATATTACAATTATCCTCTGAAAACTGAAATATTGAGTCTTTCAGGTTTTTTTTTTTTTTTTTTTTTTTTTTTTTTTTTTTTTTTTTTGGTTTAGTTGGACCTTCAAGGCTTCAACTAGAAGAATTTATAATGACTTCAAGATGCTTCTAATTTTAAAAGATAACTTCTCTTTTTGTTGGGTTAATACTAGCTTAACACAGGGCATTTGTAAATTTTGCACTCATATATGTAGAAACATGAAACCAGAGAATGAAGATATAAAGCAGCTCAAGTTGTCATTATCAGATGAATTAGATGATTTCACACTCAACAGCACCTCTAATGATGTGGCGAAGCTGGCTGATCTGGAGAAGAATAGTGGTCAGAGCCATCATGAAGCCTGTGATCCTGAAATAACCTGGCTCGAGTCCCCTCATTCAGCTGTAATTGCTCATCTATACCCGGCAAGTCCACGTGGCCCACAGAACCAGACTCGAGCTGCTCACCGTGTGGTGAACCGTACACAGCATTATTATGGTCGAACGGATATAGCATCATGAAAGGTGGGGCAGAGGGCCCATTAGAAACTCCGTTGGGATTTGTAGCTGATAAAGGATACATGTTGTATGGCACTGTTTGGGGACCATTTTGACTAAAGCTTGAGCTCGATTGACCATTCTGTGATTGATAAGGGAGAGTTTCGTGCCTATATGAGTTCCATGAACGGTCAGCTAGATTCTCAGCAGAAGTCAAGCGGTCAGTTCGAGCATTTGACTTATCAGTTTGGTTGCGGCCATGATTTCGTACGGAACTTCGTGATTTTGGATTCGAGTTCCAGTTTCCCTCTTTGTCACCATAGTCATCATTTCTATCATAGTTATTATAATTTCCTCTTCTTGTACCAGAAGAGTGTCGCTCCCTGTTGGGAATCTTCTTGAGCATGCATAAAAAAGTATTATACCATGAGTCATAAATTTAGAAATTACATATGACACACAAAGAGACAGGACCAAGGACACTTAACATATAAAGAGTATATTCTCTCAATTTTAATAAAACTCGTGAATGTTTAATCCAAAAGATGTAAACATTATGATAGGCCAGGGGTTTCCATTAAATTACATGGATCGAAAGACGGAATTTTATCAGTTAAATTACATTCGTTATATAAAATAACTTCATGTACAAAACTTCCATTGCTACGCATTTGCATGATAAATAAAAGCAAAACCAAAGTCAGTTTCATCAACCAAAAGTAAATAAATGTGTCAATCATTCAAATGTCACATGACGAAAGCACTTCCCCAAATAGGATAAGGAATAAATGTACACGTACCAAACAAACACAATCATAAAGGGTATTGGGTTATCCTTACAGGATTAGGCAGGTAAGTCCCTGTCCCGCTTCGATATCTCGGCATGCCATCCACGTAATTTTGATAAAAAATAGGTCTACTTGAAACTGATTGGGGGGGAGCCACAGGTACCAAACGTGGACCGTGACTCGTCATAAGCTGAGAGAAAAGGTTTGTATTGGTAGAAAAAGGTCTACCAGGAATATCGTATGGGAACCGGTCACCCTGTAAATAAGCAGGTAGGACCATGAAAGGCGAAGGATAGACTAACTGCCCCCCATTGTGCCGTGAGTTCTGACAGAATCTCCCAAACTGTAAATTTTGCCAATGGCTGGCAAAGTCACTACTAAGAATATCAGGTTTTTTCTTTTCTGATGACTCAGCGCAGGCTGTCCCTCTCAAGGAATTCTCCAAGTGATCATATCCTTCGGGACTAAAGTCGTGACGAGAGCCACTGTTCTCCAAGGCTTCATCAGCTCTAAAATGGCCACTCGATGAATCAGAAGTACCCGCCTCGGGTGGAATATTGTACACCGGCAGCATTGTTAGAAATGGTATTGGAGGCCCAGTAGGATAGAATGCAACCATCCCAGAATTATCATTCATTCTCTGTCTTGAGCCACCGGGACCAATGAGCATCGGGGCAAAAGGCATCATTGAGTCGGATCCACTTGCTTGAGCAACTTCAAAGCCTGAGGATACATTCCAAGAATTTCTTTCCAATGCCACAGCATCCTCATTCTCGATGCCGGTTTGGCCAGAAGCTAATTCAGCCGATGATAATATTTTCTTTCCACGTTTTTCTTTCATAGATTTAGGCGTTTTAGCTGATGATTCATCCCCGGAGTTTTCTGAGGAGGCCCTTCTCCTCAAAGAGTTGTTATGAGTTGCCGAAGTGAACTTTGAACTTACCGATCTTTCTGCTGCATAAATCTCGCTGTTTCTATCATCCTGGTTCGAATGGATCTCGCTATTTTGCGTGGCCGGGCTATGTTTTTCCCTCTGATGTTTCTGAGGAACCCGGCTAACACTATCAGAGCTATTCAATCGATGAGGGGGAATATATTTCAAACCAGAAACAGAAACTGGTCGTTTATCATCAGAAACACGAGTTTCGGGTTTTCCATTCTCGGGTCCAACATTTTGCTCGTTCCAGAAATAATCACTATCTACGTCCTCGGAGTTCATGGCCTCCACAGAGCCAAAATTATCATTGCCGTTCTCGACAGAAGTTTCTGAATTTGAAGTCAGCCCAACACCGGGAAAATAATGAGGTGATAGTAAATTAGAAGGAAATTGCAAATTTGACAATGATGGGTCCATCAGCGGAATATTATTCGCCGGGAAAAATCCCGGAAGGTTCCGTTGAGCATATCCTATTGAGGCAAGGAAGGACGGTGGGATAGAGAAAGGCAAGTGACCTGAGTTTAAATTGAACGGAACATGAAATTGCCCGTTTAGATCTTGAAGTGAGGCGGATGTCATCATGTTCACAATATCTTGCTCTTCCTGGTACATTGCACCAGCGGTAGACTGTGACTCCTCACCTGAATCGAGACTCTGTTTGGATGACACTTGAGTGTTTATGGTCTCTGATTTTATGTTGTGCCGTGTTTGGGAAGGTAAGTCACCGTACGCAACGGTAAGTTCAGGGCTAGAAGACGTACGAGCGAGAAACCGGCCATAAATATCATTCGCCCCTCGATTAGCCTCAGGAACTTCCTGAGTCTCGTCATTGACCATCACCCAATCAAAAGTATTGTCCGTTTGGATTTGATTGGAGACACGAGAGCTGTTTAAGGTTTGACTTTTCAGATTTTTCATGCGAGAGGCAGAGGTTTTTCCGTGTTGAGAAGGAACACCGTGAGTGCCCCTATCCTCTGTATTGTAGAGGGAAGAAGTTTTGTTCTGATTTACATTGTTTTTGCTTGAAATATTACCAGAATTACTGAATTCATGAAAAGAGTCTATTCCAGGTGCATCGGGCCTGTGACCACTGCCATGTCTATCCCATGTATTCGTAAAGAACTGATTAACTTCGAAAGATAAGTTTTCTTCTGGGCAGTCGAGCAATCTGGCAAGTCTTTTTGCTCCAAAAGCAAATGCACTTCTGATCCTGAAAAAATTACCTGACAAATAGAAAAAGTAAGATAAGTACAACAAAAAGATTCCATGAGTCATTATTTCACACTCATAGCAGTTACCACTGGAAAAAGTGAAGAAGAAAATACACATGGAACTGAAGCCCAGAAGCTTATCAGTTCGAAATCCCTCGACACCTGGGTTACTTTCGAGTTTCGACCATTCTCCAAGCATATATAACTATTATGTAGACAAATATGATACCAGTGGTCTAAGTGACGACCAAAGTGAAAAAATATATATATATGTATATATATATATAATTAAATAACATTACCCCCAGCAAGTCAGCTGCAAGTTACAGGCTCAATTATATAATAAAAAAGATCCTCAAAAAGTTAAGAATTCTCTTTCATTAATGACTAATTAAATTAAATAAACTATATTTACGGCCTAAGGTTGCAATCGAGTGCACAATATCCCGATTTCATTAAATTTGGAGAATTTTTTGCTCCAAAATAATTAAAACAAACTAGCAAATATGCATCATTGTTACACAATCTCCCACGAATTCCACATGACTCCCATTCACATATTTATAACTACAATCATATATGACAAGATTTCCTATTTTATCTCAAATCATCTTTGATCACTGCATTTTCACCATACATCCAATCACACTCTAAACATCTATATTTCTAATTCCAGAACGTTTTAATCATTTTCATCTGAAAAATAATTCCTGAAACAAAAAGAGATTTCGAATCGCACCTAATTTCTCCTCAAGGGAAAAACTATTAAGTATATAATGTCCTCTAATGAAAAAGACAGAAGCCTCCATACACCAAATAACTTCACTAATAAAGATAACAATGAACTAATAGCATACTAAAGGATAAGACAGGTAATCATTCTTATGCATAAACCAGTATGTATATAGCCCATCAATGAAAGTACCTAATGTATAAAGGCACAAAAAAAAAAGAAATACGTTAAAAAAATAAATAAATAAAAAGAGTAAAAAGGGAAATACCAGGGCAGGGCCAGAGCAAGGGACATTACAAGCTAAGCTTACCTTTACTAACACTACGCCCAAGATTGTTGTTCACACATAATGGATCAATCACATTAAAATGCTTTGAAACAAATTGTTGTCCATTATTTTCTTGGCCACCTGGGAAAACAGCATACACAGAGCTACAAGCATCAAGAAACAACTTGCTAAGTAGCAATTCTCCACTGTCCTTTCGAGGAGGTTCCGCTGTAAAAAAAAATGAAATCAGATCCACCAACCCAAAGACTACTATATCGCCACTAAAAATTAAAGGGTTAATTACAGAAAAATACCATTCATATTAAAAACCATTACAAAATCCCAGAAAACATGCAATTTATAAAAACCCTCGTAACATGTGTTTCAATTGTACAAATTGTGCTTTCCGAAAGAGAAAATTTGTTCAGTAGACTAGAATGCTTGGGATAACTTAAAGGAATATTTACAAGAATGAAAGAGGTTTTGTAGTTTCTTAATTGCATCAACTTCTAAGTAACTAAATATGCATAACTATACATATAAAAATGAAAAGGTACTGAGGCTCTAACCAGTCACATTGGGTAGGGAACTAATGGGCACAGGTCCCCATAAGCTGACACAAAAGTTTTCCCAGTCAAAAGTGCTGAAGAACTCCAGAAAACGATAAAGAACCTGCAGAGTAAATAAAGTGTATCAGAAGAAAAATCAGGAGACAGGAATTGTGACATTGACGCGACAATAACTAAGTCACCTCAAGGGGTCCATGAAAGGAATTGTTGAACACATGAAAGATGTAAAGAACTAAGGCCTCCAAGGCATAGGTAGATATGAGTCCATGATGAGCACCCAATACTCGACTTTCATAATAGCACCAAGCTTTGATCAAGATAATACTACGCTTGAACAAGTGATTCTGATTTATTAAGTGATCCACCTATGAAGCAGAAAATCATAAGGCTCTTTCGAATAATGGATCTCTCATTTTAGCAATTGACATCACAATAGCTAATGTTTCAGATATTTAACTAGTGGGTAATGTAAGATGTAAACTAGTAATCACCTCGTCAAGGAAACATAGAGTACACAGCCCGCCAACTTGATTAAAAGATATATCCACCACAATATTTTCCACAAGACATTTAATTATTTTCACCTGCAATATAAAATCAGATGGGAGAAAGAATATATATAACAGCGGGTATAGGATCAGGCATAGAAACTATTTGAAAGGATTTCAGCAATGAATTTATGGTTAGTCGTCCAACGCAGCAAACTTGGACATCAAAAGAAGGTTTATACAGCATAAAGGTCTAGAAATCTCGCTATTCAGAAAATATTCAAATTTGTAATAATGACATGCATTCAAGTATTATATATGTCATAATTGAAGACCTCTAGGTTAAGGCCAGTTTATTTCACTATTTTTCTGCCGACACTTGCAGTCTGACATAAAGGATCAGGAATACACAATGGATAAAGATCATAAAGAACATATGAGAGAGCATACTTCTGCTTGGATATATTGAACCTCCTTCACACGAAATTCGGCATTCTCATTCTTTTCCTCATTGTGTAGCATATCTCTGACCTGATTGGCCCAGGAGTCTTTCAAATTCTGATCATGACTGAAAACCGTCAAATCAATGTCACCATCAGGAAGGTAAGTCTTCAATGGTACAGAACCAAAGGTGCAGACCTACAGCAGCGATAAAGGTTAAAAGGAAAAAACAGCAACAAGAAACTAAAAGGAGAAACCCACAAACATATCATTTAAAAAATGGCGAATTATGTCATTCAAACTCAATCGTAAAATGGGAACTTCCTAGATAGCAAATAGATATTACTATATCCAAGTTTCACTCAATTGATGAATGATATTGCTATATCTAAGTTTCCTAGATAGGCCTAATGATGTCATTCAACAACACTTACGTCCGTCCATAGTGAATGTTCTACCCTTTATCCTATTACAAGAAAGCCTCACAGTAGAACAAGTTTAAAACGCAAGGTAACAAAAGTTTCCACGCCTACCCATCTCACGTCATAGGGCAACTAAAACCTTGCATAAGGCAGCTAAAACCAAAATATTGCAAATTATACATGTTTTCTCTTGCATCCAAAAATATGCCCACAAGCATTTTGATTATTTCCAAGTAAACATTTTAACCTATATGTGTACAAAAGAAAAATATTGTCACCCGTAAATATGGAAATGTACTTTGAACAAAAAATCGCATACAATCATTTGTCAAAACAAGACTTCACTCAAAAAATAACTAAAATGACACCAAATAAAAGCTCCAGCAACCTGGCATGGGAAGCACTTCATAATGAGCCGCTGTACATATTCTGCAACAGCATTTCTATGCTCTTCCGATACGTGGTTGGGCTGAATGCAAGCAATGAGCTCTGCAATCCTATCCTCTGCTCTCGACCAACGTTCGGAATCAAATTCCTCCAACACTGACCCTGACCCTGGCACAAGCCCATTTGGCAATGGCCCACCTGACTCAGCCCATTCCTCGTTTTCTTCCATACAGAACTACCTCTTTTCCAACCTTGCGGGACAGCAGAAGACCCCAATCGATATTCTTTCTACTCTGACGTGAAAAAAAAACCAATCCTTCTACAGAACCATCCCCAAAAACGCAAAACTAGAGCAAATTTAAGCAAAGGCAATGTTCCCAACAGACACCTGGATACCGGAAGCTACGTGATAACACCCTAAGCGCCAATTCTATAGCAAGTAATATTGTGTCTACATACTGACAATTCAGTAACCTCAATAAAGAACTTCAAATTGTCCAGCGGAAACAAATCAACTAAAAGGGAAACCTGCACCCCAGAAAATTACTTGATCATCTAAACAAAACCCTAAAGAAACTAGCTGCTAGAGCTTCAGAAAACATATGGTCCCAAATGCAGACGAAAATCGATTGACACCCCACCAAAAAGAATCGATTTTAAATGTAAGGGCTGAAAAAAAAGAGAGGATATTGCAAAGATCGTCCAAATATATATGAAGGGAACGGCAGATGAAGAGTTTGTTTATGCTTTTCTTGTCATAAATTGGGAATTTTCAGGAGAATCGCTTGACGTTTTGAAGAAACTGATTTGATTTTGATTTGAACTGGAATGTGTGTGTGGAGGTGTGTGTGTGTGTGTGTGTGTGTGTAAAAAAACAGAGGAAATGTGGGAAAAAGATGAGGAGAAAAAGCTTTGGATGATTTTACTCGAATGAGATGAGAGCAACATTAGGAATTTTGGTTACTAAGGCTTGATTGTTTATGAAATAATTTGTTCAAAATGAATTATTTTAGTTAATCATAGTTAATTTGAAAAAAGGTGTATGGTTAGTTGTTAGTGGAATTTTAGGAATGTATTAAAATAATATTTAAAATAAAATGATTAAAATTGATTTGATGTAAAGGTAAGAGATAAATGATTGGAAATGATTAGAAATGATAGGTAGTTAAAATTATGTGAGTGGATGAATAGTGAATTAAAGTTGATGTGATGTGTAAGAATGATTGGTTTGTATTATTTAATTATATGAATAATATTAAAGATAGTGGAGTTGAGTTAAAGTTGAGTTAAATTTTGAGTTGAAATAAAAGTGAGTAAAATATTTGGTAAACAATCAAGCCCTAAGTAATGATTAGAAAATTATTTTGCTTACTCTACGACCATCCACAATGCTTTGGGTTTTTTCAAAAAAATATAAAATGCTTTGGGTTCTTTCAAAATAGACATAGTCTAGAAAAATATTTACTCCAATGCAACTGTAATTGACTAGATCATGCTGATGTGGCAGCAAAAAAATGAGACACGGTCTACCCTTAAGTCTATTTTAGACCCAAGTAGAGACATAGACATGTTTGTTTATAGAAATTTTTTGTTTTGTTTGAATTTTTTGGTTTGGTTTGGTTAATTTTGAAAAATGTGGTATGGTTAGTTGTTAGTGGGTATATTAAAATAATATTTAAATTAAAATAATTAAAATGATTTGATGAAAAAGTATGAGAGAGATGGTTTGATGTGATAGTTAGTTAAAATAATGTGAGTGGATGAATAGTGAATTAAGGTTGATATGGTGTGTAAGAATGATTGATTGATATTATTTAAATATATTGATAATATTGATGATAGTGGGTTGAGTTAAAGTTGAGTTAAAAAAAAATAGTTGAGTTAAAATGTTGGAAATTTTTGAAAATTTTCCATAAACAAACATTTTTTTTTTCCATTGGAGTTAATTTCATTACTTTTCAATATTTTTTTCCATTACATCTAAGACTTAAGTCTATTTACATGTCATGTAAACAAAATTAGACCCATTGTACATGCTCTTAGAGCATCTGCAATGCTTTGGATCTAATTTTGATTATGTGGCAAATAAATGGACTTAAGTCTTGGGTGACATGGATAAAACTATATACAAGTAACAAAATTGACTCCAGTGCAAAGAGATTAGATCTCTGTTTGGGTCTAAATTATACTTAAGGATAGGTTGGTCTCTTTCTTCTGCTGCCACGTCAGCAAGACTCAGTCCACTTGTAGTTACATTGTAGCATATAATTTTCTAAACTGAGTCTATTTTTTACGTGGTCAGTATATTTCTTTGAATGGACCTAAAGCATTACTGATACTCTAAGTTTTTAGAAATTATAAAGTAACATAATACTTTATTGAAATTTTGGTAGGAGGAAAAAAAAAAGTATTAAAAAAATGTTGTTGTATTTTAACTTATTCGTTTCGAATTTCGAGCTTGGAGGTGTATTAAATTAAATTCATAAGGAAAATGTATTCAATTGGGATTTGTAAATATTTTTTAAAAATTTAGAAATGTATTCAGTTAAAATTTGTTATGACTTTTTAAAAGTCTCGGGATATTCAGTTGAGATTTTAAAAAATCTTGCAAATCATCAGGTATTTAACATTTGAGACTAGGATTAGTTAAGACTTCTTAAGATTTGGTGGAATTTCCTAAAAAAAACCCTTATACGAAATCTCACTTCAAATCTCACCTCGAAACTTAAGATTTCACATAATTTTTCAAGAAACTGAAAAATTTACAAAGTGTCAAATCATAAAATTCTCAAAATGTCACTTGAAATCTCAATTGAATACACCCCCTAAAGTTATTTTAAAGACTTCATAAATCTAAGTGTATTTAATTTAGACTCCTAAAGACTTTTAAAAGTTTTGGAGTATTCTAACATCTATAGAAGCCTTACCCCTAATAATTTCAGTTATGTGCTCACTGATATTTTTCCTCAGTATTCTAACAGATATTGAGGTATTTATGCTTTTATTTCTGAATAAAGGGAGTTGACGGGTGCGGTCTCACGGACGTGAAGCGCACCAAAGCAGAGTGAGTCTAGTGGAGTTCCATCCTAAAATCGTTAGGCTCACCCTGCTTTGGTGCGCTTCACGTCTGTCAGACCACACCCGTCAACCCCAGTTTCTTCATGGTATCAGAGTCAGTTCACCCAGTCCAGTTAGGTTGGGGCCTACGTGGGACCATGCAATGACGTACCCGTCACCCAGCCCAGTTGGTCTTGGGCCTTATATGAAAAATTCACAAGTGAGAGGACGTGTTAGAATACACACTTGTGAGTTGTCTTTCGTCGTCTATACAAGAAAAATAAGCCTAACTTATAAGTCTGGTGGGCTACTCCTACTACCAATTGTTTTAATATGGAACTCCACTAAGACTCATCTAGACTCACCCTACTTTAGTGTGCTTCACGGCCGTAGCACCGCACCCGTCAGCAATTTCTTGGAGAAGCCTTACCCCTAATTATGTCAATTTAACATTGAGATATCTACAAGAGCATCACATACAATTTTATCAAAATTGGGTTGTAAACTACTCTTAAAAGCTGACCTCTTGGAAACTAAACTCAAATACCAGAATTTGTAGGACCAAGCTTGACTAATTCAGAATTCCTATTACACCCTTCTTCCTCACTTTATTTTCCTAAACAAAACTGAAAACCCCTTTAATATTTTGTTCTTGCAACTTAAGATTTTAGAGAACTCCGTCTTTTTAGTTTTCAACCAGTCTCCAAATTGTCGTGGATTGAACACATTACCTTTAATTGGGCTATAATTGGGTATCCTTTTGTAATCAATGGATTGGGCCTAATTTAGTTGGAGACTAAAATCTAGCCTAATTTCAGCTTATACCGGATCACTTGCAACCTTTTTTGTTTACTACTCAAGAACAAAGTAGTATTATAAGCTAGAGCATTGCTATAAGTACATAGTATTGTATATAGAAGTGTACATAACAGTCACATTGAGTGGGATCCACCAAAAATAAAAAAAATTGAGTGGACCCCACTCCATGTGAGTGTTATGTACACCTCTATGTACATTTATTATGTACTTGTAGCATTTTCCTATAAACTAATACGTTAATTAAAAATTGTAGTTACGTAGTATTCAGATTTGATGTAGTCAGTTCTGCTCAATTTTCGTTAATGAATTCATCACTTTTACCTAATTTCAACTTAATTGGTATTATTTGAAGCCCCTATGTAACTTTTAAGTTGGTCCAAACTGCTTGGAATGAGAGAGTGGTGGGGCATTCTTTATACAGCCTTCAACAGAGGATTAAAAATGTGAGAGTTGCCCTTCTGAAGTGGAAAGCAAATAAAGGCACTAATGCTGAGATGACCATTAAGGAGTGCAAAGCTAAATTATCTGAGCTGCACCAGCAAGGAGGCAACAGAGATTGGACAGTATGGAATCAACAGAAAAACAAGCTGAATCTGGCTTACAAAGATGAAGAGGAATACTGGAGAATCAAGTCTAGAAACCAATGGCTGAAAGCTGGGGATAGAAACACCAAATTCTTCCAAGCTACAGTCCATCAAAGAAGAAAGATTAACAGCTTGGAAAACTTGGTGAACTCTGAAGGGGATAGATGTTCTAGTACTCAGGATACTCTGAATGAAGTCCAGAATTATTTTGATATGCTCTTCAAGTCCTCTAATCCTCAGATAGATAGGTGCAATCTCCAAGGCATTCCTATTTAATCACTGATCAGATGAACAGACAATTAACCCAACCTGTTGAGGAGGATGAAATCAAGGAAGCTCTTATGGACATGGATCCTCATAAAGCTCCAGGAGTTGATGGTATGTCCCCTTGTTTTTTTCAAAACTCTTGGGATTCTGTGAAAACTCACCTCTGTCTTGCTGTGAGGAATTTCTTTGAATGTGGTCAAATGCCTAAGTCTGTGAATCAAATTGTTCTCTCTTTGATCCCTAAAAAGAAGCATGCTACTAAAATGGTAGATTTCAGACCAATCAGTCTGTGCACTGTGTCTTACAAAATAATTGCTAAAATTGTTGCTAATAGACTCAAGAATACTCTGTCTAAGTGCATTTCCCCTAATCAAGCAGCCTTTATCCCAGGTAGACAAATTTTAGACAATGTAGTGATTGCTAATGAATGCATTCATTTCATTAATAGCAAAAGAAAAGGCAAAGACATGTTCATGGCTGTTAAACTAGACATGACTAAAGC